CCCATTCATTTGTCTACGGCAAGGACACACAAAAAAATCCACAGGACGCCGAAGCAACCCCTCCCCGCCTCCCCATGAAGCCGACGCGCCACCCGCATCGCAGATGACACACCGCCGCCGGGGCCAGGCGACCGTCAAAATTACAAAGAAGAGAAGACGCACTCTGCTCCTGCCCTAGGTCAACCGACCGGCCCGCTCGGTCATACCCGGAAGCGCATCGACCTCTTGACCATCGGCGGCGTCGGCGGCGTCGCCTCGGGCATCGTCGCCGACGACGATGATGACGAAGGCGTCTCACCCATAGCCGGCGGTACGACGGGGGCCATGTGCCCGCCCGCCGGCGGCGCCACGACCACCGGCGCCGTGGTCGGGACGTGCCCCACCACCGGCGGCTGCGGGATGGGGATGTGCTGCACCGGCGGGGTGACGTGCACCGGGGGAGCGACGTGCACCGGCGGCGTCACGACGACGGGCGGGCGGTGAACCACAGGCGGGATGATGGGGGGGGAGACGTGCACGGGCGGGACGTTGTGCACCGGCGGGATGACCAGCACGGGCGGGATGTGGGCGGGCGGGGCGACGTGGACGGGCGGGGGCACAATGTGCGGCGGCGGCATGCCCTGGTTGGGGAGCGCGCCGTTGGCGTCGCAGCCGGGGGGGACGACGGTGACGGTTTGGACGGGGGCGGCGGCGCCCTCACGCGTCTCGACGCGCGTGATGATGCGGTCGACGGGCACGGTGACGGTCTGCCGCTGGACGTCGACCTTGGTGACGAGCTGCGTGACGATCTGGCGCTGGACGTCGACCTTTGTGACGACGCGGTCGCGGACCTCGGTGCGCGTGACGAGCTGCTGGCGGATGTCGACCTTGGTGACGACCTGCGTGACGATCTGGCGCTGGACGTCGACCTTGGTGACGACGCGCTCGACGGTGCGGGTCACGGGGACGGTGACGAGTTGGCGTTGGATGTCAACCTTGGTGACGACGCGCTCGACGGTGCGGGTGACCGGGACGGTGACGAGTTGGCGCTGGACGTCGACTTTGGTGACGACGCGCTCGACGGTGCGCGTGACGGCCACGGTCTGGACGACGGTCTTGACCACCGGGACTTCCTTGACGACCGTCTTGACCACGGGCACCTCCTTGACCACCGTCTTGACGACCTCAACCGGGACGGTGCGTACGACCTGCACCGGGACCGTCACCGGGACCTTGACGACGCTCGTGACGGTGTGGGTCACGGCCGGCGGGCACTGCGGCTGTGGCGCGGCCCCGCCACCACCGACGTGCGGGGGAATGCCGGGGAAGCCGCCGGGAAATCCTCCTCCGAAACCGCCGCCGGGATGTCCTTGCTGGGGAGGGATGACGTGAGGGGGGATCTGGACCGGAGGAATGATGTGAGGCGGGTTTTGGACTGGAGGGACAATGTGAGGCGGGATTTGCACCGGAGGGACAACGTGAGGCGGGTTCACGACTGGAGGGACGACGTGAGGCGGGATCTGGACCGGCGGAATCACGTGCGGCGGTGTGACGACGGGGGCGGCGGGTGTCTCGACGGGGGCGGCGCTCGACACTTCGGCGGGGGGCGGCACGACGGCGACGGGCGGGACCTCGGGGGTGGGTGATACGGCCGGGACTGGGACCGGAGCTGGCATGACGGGGGGGATCGCCGCCGGCGGGTTGGCGGCGGGGTTGGCCGCGGCCATCGAGACGAGGAGGGCCAAGCCCAGCGGGAGGGAAGCGTGATACCTCATGTTCGATGATGGAGATCTGCCGGAAAAAAGCACAAAAAATGGGTCGAAGGAATAAAGTCGGTAGGGTGTCTGGCGACAAAAAGTGAACGGCTGGCGCTCCGAAGAAGGCGAATCGAAAAGTAAAAAGGGTTGGATATCCGGCTCCGCTCAAGAAAAGAATGACAACTAACAGCAACACACCATCAAAAGACCGGTGGTGGTTGAGATCGAAGAGAAGGAACGATGACGAACAGGAAGGGAGGAGGAGGAGGAGGAAGAGAGGGAGAGGGCGGGACGGGACGGTTAAAGGGAAATGGAGGAGAGACGTGGCGATCAGTGCAGCGGTGACCCAGGAGATCCAGCTCTTTTGACGGCGAGTTCGTGGTGGTGATGGCCCTTGGCATGGAACTCGGCGCGCATGACGGGTCCCGGCGCCAGGTTCGGCGGTGTTGACACGGTGGGTGGGGGGTGCCACGGGGACCGGTTCCTTGGCTGGGCGGGACCAAGGGGCTGCAAGGGGCTGCCGCACCGCCCTGGGGGCTGCATGCAACCCGGGCGCGGGACAGGGCCCTCAGACGTGCCAAGTATCTTCTGGGACATGCAACCCGCGGCGCAGAGTTGCTTGTTTTCTGGCAGGAGCCGCGATGCAAGCGATGTGTAGGAGCCAGACATGACATTGGCGGGCAGCAGGTACTGGTATTGTGTTTGTGACTGACTTTGCCCTCGGTGGGTGTAGAAGTTGGCGAGAAGCGGACCAACTCCAAGGCCGGCCTCGGTGACCGGCCGCTACCGGCGATTACACGGCCCCGGCCATTAGTCGATGCCGTGATCGAGGGCCTGGAGGCGGCCAGCGAGGAGACCGTCACTTCTCAGCACAACGACGACTTCTCCTGCATCCCAATGTTTGTCGATCTCCTGCGATGGATATCACAGACGCAGATAAAAAAACAACAAGGCAAAGTTGCACCCAGAACTCGAAACATCTCTCGGTTGGGTGGCCGATGTCACTTCAGCTGAGCCCGAAAGCACCACGGCGATTGGCCGAGAACTCGGAACAAAGCTGAAGCACCCGCTCCCACCTCTTCACCCTCTGGACAAGTCACAACCCCTCTGGTCAGTGCTTGCGAGAGGGCCACCCCCGTCAGGAACTCGACCACCCTTGAGATTGGAGGTGTCTGGAAGACCAAAGCTCCGGTTTCTCGTTTCGAGAAAATGGGACGAGTTTGTTTCTCTGCCAGGCAGGGTGGCAGGGCGACCGGGTTGGGCTCCCCACCCAGCGGGGGTCCGGATTCTAGGCCATGGCCCTGCCCAGGAGCCCGGCCTGGGCCTCCCGCGAGAGTTCCGGGCTCGATGCCCCGCCGTTCCCGGGTTGTTGTTGTGGTGATCAAGGGCGGCCAGAGATCACCGCTGAGATCATTCCTGCGAACACGTCGATGGGACGAATGGCGGCGGTTCTGTGTTCGTCTATACCTTCTGCGCATGAGAGCGTTAGATTTGGTGCTGATGCACGCCGTCCCGACTCTCCCGAGAGTCCTGCGATGCAGTGCTGACGACCCGCGGCAGCCACATCGTCGAGGCGGGACTGCAGGTTCATCACCACCACCAACAAAAAAAACAGATGCAAAATCCCCAAATCATCCCGTCTTTCCGGCGTCACTGTCAGTGTCAGCACAAGACAGCGCTTGCTGGGCTGGGCTGTCGAAACATTGAGGCTGCAAGCTGCAACACCGTGCTGGACGGCGCCCAGCAGTGACGTTTGGGCTGGATGCACCCCGTGGGGATCCAAACACCTTCTGAGACGGCCAGACCTCCTGGCACCCTGGACCTGGACTCCACCCCGACCGAAGAACCGCTGTGAAATGTAACCTGGAAACCCCCAAGTCAACGACGAGAATCAGGATCTCTCCGCATGCGAGGACTTCCGGGTTGGCAAAGATTGGAGTCCTTGGGCTGGCAAAGCCTTGACGCAGCGAGGTCCACCACAACCACGCCCAGCCGGCGCACAGCGGAGGCTCGGGCAGCGAGGTGTCCGGCATCCTGACAACAACAACAACAACAGTGTGCCGGAGCGTTCTCGACACGGGACTGCTAGATCTGTCAACACGAGCTGTAAAAATAGGCCTTGGAAGCTTCACAGCCTCATCGCGCTCGCCGGCGCAACAAAAAAAAAGATTGTGCATGTGCCGGCCGACCTCCCCGAGAACCGAGACCGCCACGGCGGACAACGTCCGGGAACCCACCCCACCACACCGAGACGTCTTGGCAGATCCCCAGGGGCCGGCGCGCCGTTTGAGCGCGACATGGTCTCCCCGCCAATTCCCCCCCGCCGGCCAAGTACCTCTGTAACGAGCCGACCATCAAAGCGTCGGGCTTGGATCTGTCTCAGCACCCTGATCGACGACCAGGACGTCAACACCATCACCGAATCCTCACTCCGAACGAGGGCGCCGCGATAAGCATACTTAAGGCCGGGCTCCGCCCCGCTCTCAACCCCCTCCCCTCCTGGACTGTGAAACTTTGGTGCGTGCTGAGGGCGCCGGCGCCAATGGCGACGGGGGACTTTGGGTTCGGGGGTTTGAGACTTGGCGCTTGGTGGGAAGGAAGGGAAGGGGGTTGCCGTCCCTCCCTCTCCTGGACAGCAGGCCTGACAGTAGCATCCCGGCCCTGGCGGGAAGGGTGGGAAACAAGAATTGCAGCGTGCATGTTTCCTTGTTGTCAGCGTCGGGCCAACTCGTCACCAGGCCGCCCGGATGGCGGGTCACTCGGTCGCCGGCCAGCTTATCTCTTATCTCCGGACGGGGCCAATCCACTCGGTCGGCGTTCCCGGCCGGACCGGGGGGAGTTTGTTGGGGTCGAAGGCCGCCGGCCGGCCGGTCGGTCGGTCGGTGGGTGGGTGAGCGGCCAAAAGAAATTGTTCGAGAAGCTTTAGCTGCTGACGAGGTGGTTGTGATATCTGCTGCTAGGGTTTTTGGAAGAAGTCTCGTCCACAGTGCGCAAGACCGAAGGCATCAAATCCCAACGTTGAAACCAACAAGATGGAAAGTTGGGACTGATATTTTCCCCTCCCAAATCGATTTTCCCGTTTGACGCAGCGAACAAAATCCCCGCCCTTTCAGGCCATGAGGTCATCCTTCCAGAGGTGTGCGCCAGATTCTCCACAACGGACTGAGTCATGCATGATGCCGTGGACCGCCAGTGGATCAGGCACCCAAACCTGCTGCCCCTCTTGGAAAGCGATAAGGATGCCCAGACACAACAACAACAGTTGGCCGTGTGGTGTAGTGGTAGCATACTTGCTTTGGGTGCAAGTGGTCCAGGGTTCAAGCCCCTGCTCGGCCCAAACAACTTTCGTTTTTTGCTGTTTGTATCTCCTTGGGAGCAGGCTTTGCTGCTGCTGCGAATATTCTTTTTGCGGTTCCCAGACTTTTTGCCGAGTGAAGGGGTGCGATGGACCGTTCCCGGATTTTTTGCCAAGCGGAGGATAAACTTGCGCCTTGAAATCAAATACGTTCCTTCCTCGACATCTTCACATCGACACCATGGTGCTTCATATTTCGAGCCCGGTGCCAACATTACCAGTTGCGTCTGCGTTACTAGTCTCGAAACCCCAAGTCCAAGACGCTGATCGGGAAGAGATATGATCCCTCGCCGGACTGCTGCGAGACTGGAGAGGGTGCCCGATGAAGACGCCCATTCCGTTTTGAACATGAATTCGCCAGGAAGAGGAGGTATCGGAGCGTCCAGCATTTGGTATCTCACACCTCAATCAACAAGCTCATACCCCCCGGTCTTTTCATCTTCCCGCTTCACCACCAAAGCCTTGAAATCCACGCCGTCCAGCGCCCGAACATTTAACGGCAGCATGTCCAGATTCTTCCAATACACAGCCAGCACCGCCTCCCTTCTCTCCGGGGGCAGGCGGTCAAACACGCTGACGGGCGGGCCGTAGACGTTGTTGAACACCAGAACACCGCAGGTCTTGCAGTGCGCGGCGCCGTTGAACTTGCGGCCGTAGAGGTACTCGAAGGTGTTGTCGGTCCCGTGGAGGCGGACTTGGGATTTGGTGGGGTAGATGCCGATGTAGGCGTTCTGGGGAGGAGGTGTTAGTCTCGGGGTGGGTGGTGTTGTGGGAGACGGGGAAGGAAGGAAGGTACCCTGACGCAAGAACTGCAGTTGTCTTCCTTGACCTCGAGCGTGCTGATGTCGACGAGGAGTTCCATGCGGACCTGGCCGCAGTGGCAGGAGCCTTGGTGGGATGGTGCTGTATCTCCTTCTGATGGCAGGAGGGGTGGAAGAGTCCTCGCGTCGTCCGGGGGTGGGGGGATATGTTTGATGGACCTGCCCAAGATTTCAGAGGTTGAATTCCTGGGGTCAACCGTGGCAAGAAGGTAGTACCCGAGGTCATGCTCAAAAGGATTGAACCCCCACAACGTCCTCGCATTCACCAGAACCTCGCCCTTCAAAGCGCCGCTTTGATGCTGCCCCGTCACGGTTGTCCCGCAGTTTCCGCAGAACCGGAGACCTTGGTACTCCACGAGTCTTCCCTCGTCTCGCGTCACGGTCAAGACATCAATGCTGGCGCCGCACACCCAGAGGCATCCCAGCTTGGTGCAGAGGGTGCAAGAACATGTCGTCAGGTCGGCGATGTTTAGGTTTGTCGACAGGAGGAAACGGAAGCGGCCGCAGTGGCAGTTGCCTTTGAGTTGTCCGGGTTGGGGGTTTGGTGAGGTCGAAGTGGACATGTTGGAAACTGGTATGTGTTTTATGGTGATAGCGAGTGAGAAAAGAAGAGCGATAGCTGATGACTTGGATATTGGCGGTGAACTCGGGACGGTTGTCTGATATAGAACGGCTGCGCCGTAAGCCGAGCGGGGTTGATACGGGAGGATTTCGCTGTTGCCTTGACCCGGACTTGAGTCTATGGGATACGAACCAGAGGTGGGCAAGCAGATTATTTACTTCGCTGGCATTCCATGTATGTAAAGAGAGGCTTAAAGAGTATCAGAACTTCCAGGATATATGTTACATAAAACAAACTTACACCAGGATACTCCTCTGACATCCGCACATCGAAGCGCCATTTCCAGTATATCAGACAGGGGAATGGTAGCATCTCGATAAATCAGAAGAGATATCTCGTACATCCGTCAATCCCTTTCCCCGATGCTTGCCATCGATGCCGGATAATGCAAGTCGACTAAGCTAGACTTCGCGAACTTCGACATTGGCATCCCCCGGCCTCTTGACATCATGACAAGATGGCTGAGCGTCCACTCGTTACACCTGACTGCCCTTACCGTCAACCACCGAACCGCGCTCGCACGCATGTTCGCAGACATGTTCAACTCCTCGCCGCACTTGGTGCAGAGCACAGCACTACATCAATGCCATCATGATCGAGTTCCTGACCACCGTCGCCTCTGCCGGCGCTTCGCTTGGCGGTCCAATCTGTTCCGGCCTTCCATGACAGAAGGGACGAGCTGTTCGGCGTCCCCGGCGAGGGAAATGTGACGGAGGGTGCCACCCCAGACGCAGCAGAGTTCCGGGATAGAGAGGCACCCAGCCTCGCGCGCGGTCATGTTCCCACGCACACGTGGGGACAATCGTCCACAATGTCGGTCGTGTTGTGCTAGAAGGACAAGACAACAGGAATGGCCACGAACTCGTTTGCGCAGCTCGCCCGGGTGCTTGTGAGCAGCGCAACCGCACTGAATGGCCTTGCTTCCTATACCCTGACGCGGCAGCATCGCATCCTCTACGGGGCTTCAATGCTTTGCGCAGCTCGCCCGGGTGTCTGTGCTTGAGCAGCTCAAGCGCACAGGTTGGCCCTGTTTCCTCCTGACCCGACAGCATCGCATTGTCAACGGGGGCTTCGATGTCGCCATTTCCACGACGTACAAGGAAATTGCTGAGAAGCTCACCTACGGCAATGGGGCCTCTTTGGCCAACGTCAAGTATGCTGCCGCGGTCGAGCAGTGGTTGGTCGCCACCACGGTTCAAGCTCCGGCCGGCACCACTGGGCAAGGCCTTTGGCGCCTTTCTCACCACCTTGCGTGCGGCGAGGACCGCGGGGGGAACGCCGCACGAGGATGCGGACAAGGGGTGGAGGGATGTGGACGCCTCGCAATCCCGCGAGAGGGCTGGGTGCTGTGTCCTTCCCACCGGAGCGGTGCGATTACATGGCAGCCCGCAGTCCGGTGCCACTTTCCGGGCCCCGGGTCTGTCTTCCTGCCATTCAACTCTCATGCCAAGAGAACTGAGACTGGATTGGCCATGGTTTGCACCGTTCGGGGGGGGGGGGGGGGGGATGGTTCTGCGGCCGATGACTTGGCTGACACACTTGAACGTCGTCCCATTTCAAGGCCGATCCAGCCCAGTATTCAGCAGTAGGTACCCTTGCGAGCGACCTGCTGCGGTGTACCGGAAACGCAGCCTACCTGGACGGTGGTGGGTGACAGCCAACTCCTCTGTGCAATTCCTGTACAGATAACGAACCGGTGCACCGATCCCGCCCACAGCCAGTGCCCGCGAGGAATCCTCTTGGACCTTCGTCGTCATGCCCATCCACCGCTGTGTGCAGCTTCGTGTGGAAGGGGTCAAAAGCACAACCATCTTCCACGGCTCACGACGGCATGCCAGGTTTCTCCGCCGCACGATATACCCGCCACCTGGTCCCCTGCACCCACTGCCAGAAGCGATTCCACTGGCCCGAGTACTACTTGAACCATCTCCCCTCAGAACGTCCTAGCAGACATACGTCCCCCCGGGGGGGAGGGGGGCAGTGCATCGTCCCCTCGAATTGCTCTTACAGGAAGCGTCTTTACCATCCATCAAAAACTATACCACAGGCTCTATCCCGGGTCGGCCCAGTGCCCTAGCACCACCGCCCAAAAACAGCCACAATGCCCCAGGACATTCAAGAAACGCAGAGAGCGCTTGACGGGCTCTATCGCGGTATTGTTATATCCGTGTGAGCCTGTAAGACGGAGGCCATGCGCCATGAAACCCACTCGATTAAGCTATTCTTTGATAGCATGACTAGGTAGCCAGGCGTCCCCCGTTGAGACCCAGCTCCGCCTCGGTTACGCGTATCAGCCGAAAGCCAGCGAGACACGCCTCCTCGTCGTTAGGGTCCTAGGGCAACCGACTCCCTCGAGGGCCTGCCGTCAATATAGGGGGGTTCCGGCGACCATGGACGAGGAGGCTATGAACCTACGGCGTTGGCTCGCAATCCCGCGAGATAGTGCCCTCAATATAGGATTCGACGAGAGTAAAGCCCGATTTCCATGCAGACAGTGTCTGGGAAGAAGTGTCGCAGTTTTAGTTTGTCAAGGCAAAAATAAATAAGGTGGAAATGGCAAAAATGTAACTCTCCCGCCGGGAATTGAACCCGGGTCTCGAGCGTAATCATGAATGACAAGCTCACATACTGACCACTATACTACGGAAGATTTACAGGTGTGATCACCTGTCGTAGTGCTGGTTGGTTGGAATGACCGTCTGCTATTGCTACCTATGATCCTCACTTGGGAGCAAATAATGATTTCGGAAAAGGAGTCTGCCAATCCATGTCATCACCCAATGAAATGACAAGCCAGCATGAACAGCTGGCAATTGACCTACGCAGGAGTGAAAAGGGCTCAGTCCGCATCCCGAAATCAGGTCTTTACGAGTACAATCCATTATCGTACCATACCATCCAGAGGTCGAACCCAATGCCATGTCATACCTGCCCATGCCGCCGCCCATGCACCTTGCATTCCTGATTACACTGACACTCGGCATCCTCTACCCGATACTCGACGTCAATCATGACCTCTTTGTTCTGCAGTATCCTCCCGTACGAGTCCCGCAGGGGGTTTTCGCTCGAATTGCCCGTCTTCAAGTTGGTCGCCTCCAGCGCCACATCGTCTCCCGCCGAGATGGTGACCGTGTTTTCCGTCGCGTATTTTGTGGACCGAGTGCCGGCGGCCTTGGAGCCTTGCGTCCCTTCTGCGTTGCTGCCGCCCTGATAGTATCGTCTGCTGATGGTGTTGAGGTCACGGAAGAGGGTGCGCAACACTGGGATGGAGGCCGCCATGATGGTGACACCCGACTCGGCGGCACCCCATTGAACGAGGCCGACTGAGACGACTGGGGGATGTCAGCGCTGGCAAGTGTGCGCAGGGGGACGAGGACTCACAAGTGAAGTCCGGGTTGGCCAGGGAGGGGATCTCTAATGTTTTTACAACCGCCGTTCCGCCGGCGCTGTCGAGAGTCAGCAACACTCTCGCATGGGTTGTTTGGGTTGCACTCACAACATGCCCATGCTCATGGCTATCGCAACGCCCACCTTTTCCTTGCGCTTCATCTGTAGCTTCCAGATGACCTTCCATGGCAGCAGCGCCAGCGCAAACTCGGTGCCGGCAGAGTACCCTGGTCCCGTGTCAGCGCCGTACATTGCCTAGCATTCATGCTCCCAAGACTCACCGGCTGCTGTCATGGCAAAGATGGTGTAGATGTGGTCGGCCCAGCACGTGCCAGGGGCGAAGGGATTCCATGTCCTTTCCACCGGCGTGCATCGGATCCACATGAAGAGGGCGTTGAGGCCCATCATGACGTTGACCGTCAAGATGATGAACCACAGAAGCCACCGGATCTTGCCTTGCATCAACCGGAGCAGCGTAATGGCAAATGACGTCTTGCTCCAGGTTGCTGCGAGAATGGAAAAGGTGCCCGTAAGGTTGCCGACGATGCCCAGCGTCGGAAAGTTCTCGGGCGGCACGGCATAGACATGCTTCCCGAGGCCTTTGGACACGCTTACTGTTACCAACACGATCGAGGCCAAAAGCATAAACTACCGCTCTCGTTAGCTTTTCCATGGAGAGAATCACCTGGGAAGAATGGAACATACCCATGACAATATCAACATGTAGTCGTCCCACCAGAGTCGACGCTTGGTCTTGAGCTTGCAGATGACCCGAACCGTGAGAAAGGCACCCGAAAGGCCTACCAGAGACCATGTGGTGATCAGCATGCGCGGGCCATGGTCCTCGTCCGACTCCATCGTGGCGGTTTACAGACGAGGGAGGGTTGGGAACTGGAGGGGTCCGTAGGGGTCTGCTGAGAACGGAAAGCAAGGCCAGCCAAGCCAGCAGGGCCCGACAATCACGGAAATATGCCGAGGGGTCGTGTCTTATACGCCGCCTTCTGGACGACCCGGACGAAGCGGTGGATGCATGTACCTCCGCATCTGTTCAACTGCACGAACCTCATCGTTGACGCAAGCGCACAGTCTCCAACGGAAAAGTCCGTAGCACAAGAAATTGCAGGTGTTTGCTGCGAGAAGCATGTTGGTGTTGAGCTCAGGCAGCCCCTGGGGTCCCAGACCGGAGTTGGAGTGCGGGGTGAGCGGCGTGGCCCCCCCAGCCGCTCCGAGTCCCCCACACTTTTGTTCGCCGTGCCGTGTCGAGGGTTGCAGCGGGTGCCGGTGGCCACCGCCCACGGGGCCCCAGACCTCTGTGCCCTCGAGAGATTGGCGAATGGCAGGAGTCGTTGCCAGGCTCACGGACGGTCGTGCAGCTCCCAGAACACCACCAACAGCCACTGCGTCCTTACTCAACGCTGAGTCCATCGACGGTTCTGGCCAGCGACCCGAGAAGCGCACCATACCGGCGGTCGGGATCAGACTGACCATGGGCTGGTCGGTGGTCTGCTGCTCGTCATCGACAGGGACCAGCCAAGTTGCCGGGGATCCGACGCCTCGATAAATGTGCACAGGTGCAGCAAGATGCACCTGAGGCTCTCTAGTCTCGAACATCGACCGCTGGGACCCTGCCACGAGGTTTGCCCCTCCCAAGAGTGCGCTCGGCCGACAGAGCCGAGGGAGAGGGCATGTGGACGAAAAAAAGGGGGCCATCACGAGGTTGGTGCCTCGACCGAGATTGTTCGTCGCGAAGTTGGGTGAGTTGAGGTTGTGGTCAAACAGGAGTACCCTCCACGAGACGACGGTCGTGGACGAGGTTCCCCAAAGCTTCACACCTCCCTCGGCCAAGAACTTGGTTGGGAGGCGTCCTGATCGAGGACATGGCGATGCTGGAAAAGGAAGGAGCTCGAGGTTGGGGCGTTCTCTGCGTGATCAGGTCGAAAGTAATTGCCACCGTTATTGCCGACCCTCTTGCTGTGAGTTGGGGATCGGGGGGATTCGGTAGAGATGGGAGAGTTGGTGGAAAGGGGGTGGGTGGATGGGATGGGTTGTGAGGGTGTCTCTTCTCGCGTTGGTGAGAAGGCCTGACTGGGTGGACGCCTGGAGACGTTGGGATTTGGGGCCGGGACCGAGAAAAAGGGTTCCAAGAATACACGCAAAATGTCCGAGCCCGAGGGAGGCTTCGGGGGATAAACAGCGACTGGATGCTCAAGGGAACAATCGCAGGTGTTCGGGACAGACAGACCAGAGATCAGAAGGAGGATCGCTCGATGGGACGAAAAAAGATGGCCAAGATTGAAAACTCCCATGTTCTGTTTCGAAGTCGATGGAGAAACCAATGCCAAGGAGTGGGGATTTGGCACGGGCCATCCCTTGGCAAACAGGGAACACTGCAGCGGATATTCCACGACTTTGCCTTGCAGAGACGACGACATCATCAACAGCAGGTACGTACGGATGCATCTCTTCTCCGCTGGCCTGCGCAAAGTATTCCTTGTGCTAACCATCCCATCTTTCAGGTATACCATTGTCTGCACCAATGGTGTTTTCCACAATCCCGACCTCCCGACCTCCCGACCTCGCACGTCGCGAAACCACCGCCGCCGAAACGAACCTCGACTGGAACGACAAGGACTTTGCCCGCCTCCGCGACGACTCTATGCCCAAAATCTCCTTCCCTCGCATCGCGACACCTGACACTCTTATCAATGGCACATTGGCGCATCCGCGTCTTTGTCGCTGGTCGCTAGCGAGACCGCCACCAAGGCAGCGCGTCACTTTGGAGAACTTGACGGCAGATGGCGGATATAACAATGGACAGCGTCGCCAATCAAGGGCCCCCATGGCCGAGTGAATATGTGGCTGGCAACGCTGTGTTGCTTCCTGCTTTCTTTCCCAAGCTTGTGGGCGGCTTTCTGCCCCCCTGGGCTCGACCCGGGCTGGTCGAGGATAGCTGCTGTCGAGGTCGAGATGCAGGTACAATCTGGGCTGTTGGATGCTCGGCACTGGGGTGCATTGTCTTCACAAAGCACTTCCATGTGGGTTCTTCATACAAAGGCCTGCTCAAATCATCGCCATGCTCCGGCTAGCGGGCCGCACAGCATGACGCCATGTCACTGACACTTTTGCCGCAGGATTGGAGAATGTAGGTAACGACTTCAAATTGGATATCATGGCGCCTCGTAACATGTCAAAACACAAGCCAGCTCTATACCCCCCACCAAATCCTCCTCTCTCCCCTCCCATTACGTCCAGGTACTCCCCCAAGGTCCCCATAATCCTACACAGCCCCCACAGCCACCGCCCATCCCCACATCCTACAACATCCTCTCCTTGCTCTCGGTCGTTTCGTCCCTCTTGGAGGAAAAGAGGCGGTTGATGCTGCCAAACAGCTTGTTCTTCTTTGACGTGCTCGAGGCCGAGCTCCCCGAGCTCCACACGCTGCTGCGACGGCGGTCCAGGTATCCTTCCGGGACGTCGGGCAAGGTGGCTTCCGAGGCATTGCCTGCGACATGTCAGCGAAACACACCAGCCAGAAACGGGATCTGGTCACATACGGATATTCCCAGCACCGCCTCTGCCAAAGGAGACGCGACGGTCGTTGTCCTGGTACGGATGCATGTCTGACGTCACCGTGTGGGAGGATGTGGGGTAGTTGTGATGGAGATTGTCGCGAGGTATGTTGAGGTGCCAAAGTGGGAGACAGCTTTGTCGAGTGAAGAAGTAGTATGTGATGATCTGAAATGTCTGGATATACGAGGAACTAAAAGGGATACTATCGCAGGTTTATATGCTCGCCGTCTTCCATCCCGTCTCCTTAAGAAAGGCAAAGGCCACGCACATCGAAACCATCAACTTCCATCCATCTCCTTCCACTCTGACCGAATCCCTTATCTCCAAAGCCAATCCCACCGTCATCTGCACCAGCCGCTCTTTCACCCCCCCAAATCGGCAACTTCCACTCACCCTCTGCACCCCGTCATCAAACCCCGTCCCAGGCCAAGCACCACTTGCTCCCTTCCCCCCCGAATCCATCCAAGCGCCCTCCTTCCGGCCCGCGAAGCGAAAATCATCCGACAAAAACTGGACCCTCGCGGTGGCGAGAGATAAGCCCCCGGCTCACCATTGGACATTGACTCGTGGAGTCGAGGGGTTTGGGCGCAGGCGAGGCCCCACGGCGGGAATGCACGACTTGCTGGTCTGGTGGATTCGGACGTTTTGGCGAGGCGTCGGGACGAGGGCTTGGCGAAAGCTTGTTTTTACAGG